TCCCTGGAATGGTGTGGATGTGGCACTTGAGGATGTGGTTTAGTGGTGAGCAGGGCAGTACTGTGTTAGTGATTGGATTCAATGATCTTAGAGGTATTTTCCAAACTTAATGATTCTATGATTTGAAGTATTCCACACCTAGTCAACCTTGGAGCCAATATAAGTAGGTTGTCTTAGAAATAATCGTGGAAGTGAATGAATTTTTTTCTTTTTCTTTAACCATTTTTAGCCTGACAGTCAGGTAACTGGTAAATTAAATATAAAAATGGCCCTATGGGATAAGATGCAAGTTTCTGGAAGAGTTTAGAGCATTTGAAATTGTAGAACCCAGCAGTATGCTGTAGTTCAGGTTGTGCTTCTCAGTGAGGTAAAGAGCTTGTCACTAACCTGCTCTGCAGTTGGAAAGCTGGTAATTCACCTTCCCCTGCTCCCCTGCCTTTCCTTCAGCAGCTAGGAAACAATCAAGTCCTTGTAGGGTGTTCATATTCTTTTGTGGTAAACCTGGGAGCTGGGGTATTAAAATTTTTACTTCCATGTTTCACATACCCATGTTCCTAGCCCATGGAATTTCACCCACTTTCTGGTTCTAGAAATTGAACACAAGAAGTTTTGTTTTGGCAGGTATAAAATATGTGGGTTACTGCACATGTTTCTTTTTAATAAATGCTCTGTTTGATATTCTGTTCCTCCACTGGTATAAATTCAGATTATTGTTTGGGGATTTGGTCACGGTTTGGTCAACATTTTGTCAGTGTCGTCTGCATCAGCTGCCCAGGCTTGTGACCCTGTGGGAAGCCCTCACTACAGGAGGCTCCTGCCAGGCCCTGCAGAGCCCTGAAGAGCAGAGCCCACGCTGGAGCAGGTTTGCTGGCAGGGCTGGTGACCCATGGGGGGCCCGTGCTGGAGCCCATCCCTGAAAGCCTGCGCTCCAAAAGAGGAACCCACGCTGCAGCACTTTGGGAAGAACGGCAGCCTGTGGGAAGGACTCACTCATGTTGGAGATGTTCATGGAGGACTCTCTCCCATGGAGGGACCCCACCCTGGGGCAGGGGAAGGACTCCTCTCCCCGAGAAGGAGCAGCAGCAGAAACGATGCAATGGACTGACTGTAACCCCCATTTCCCATCCCTCTGTGCCACTGCAGGGAAGGAGGTGCAGAGTTGGGAAAAAATTTAATACCAGGAAGGAGGGAGGGGTGGAGGAAGGCGTTTTTAAGATTTTTTTACTTCCTATTATCCTACTTTGATTCTGATTTGTAATAAATTCAATTAATTTCCCAAAATCAAATCTGTTTTGCTCATGACAGTAAGTGATGATTGATCTCCCGTGTCCTTAACTCATGACCTTTTCATTAAATTTTCTCTGCCCTGCCCAGCAGAAGAGGAGAGCGATGGTGTGGTTTTGGTGGGCAGCTGGTGTCCAGCCAGGGCCAACCCACCACGAGATGCCTTGTAACAAAAGCACAGGGAGAAATGGCTTCCTGTTACTTGTGCATCATTTCAAAATCTATCTTCAATGAACTGTTAAACGTGATGAAAATTAACCAGCAGCAGGAAGGGGAGTGGGTCTGATTTTGGCATTGAAAAATCTGACACAAAGCTTGAATTTCATAATACAGTTGCCAGCTTTAAGTTAGGTTAGTTCTAGCTGATTCTGACCTAGGCACTGCTGGACTGGGTATCTTCTAAGTCTGTTTCTCCAAACAACATAATTTAATGAGTGTAAGGATATAATTATATTCTTTTATTGCCATACAAAGATACACTGTAGTATATTGTTTCTTATTTCCATAGAGAACAGAGATGCTTTTACAATGGCTGGCAATAAACTGTAATAAATACTATTATAAAAACAATTTACAACAGGCTTGCCAGCATCATACTGCATTTCCAGAAGGTGTTATTATAAAACAAAGACTAATTAAAGTATGAGGAGAAATGCAAGAGGAAATTGGACCCAAATCATGTAAAGCCTTAGCCTGCAGCATCTGTCAGTGTTGCAAATTCAGGTGTTTTATGTAGTAATGAAATCTGAAGTGTCAGCTCCTGTGGAAAATAAAGCTGTGGAAAATATGATACATCTTCTGCATATCTTGTCTGGCTCATGTTATGATGCCAGGGGTAGAATGCAATGCTGATTCCCACTCTGGCAGAGGGAAGAGGGAAAATGTCACTGGTACGTGCAACCTAGCAGTCTTTGGCTGTGCAAACCCTTTGTGTAACTGCTTGTCATTAGATTCCACTGTGCTGAAGGACCAAATGCTTGCATCCAGGATAGGAGAGTGCAGTGCTGATTCACAGAGAATTCAGCTTGGAAGGCACCTCTAGAGATGAGGCACAGCCGTGTGTAAGGACATGCACAGAAGAATGCATAACTTGAAATCAAACTTAGATTTGATTTTTGCATTCCAAGTGGCATTGACCACAAACATAGCATTGCCTTTGTTAAGACTGAGGTTCCTGTTCAAGTTTGTCTGTCTTGGAGTAACCTGTGTATCTCTGGTTTTTGTAAAATTCAGTTTCACTCTTTGGGATCATTTAGCATGCACCAAGATGTGTGTTCCATGGCTTAATTACTTTCTACTGGCTTGGTGCTAGATTGGGATTTCTGTATCAAGGATGTGCACGTTATCCTAAACAATTACTGCACCAGAATTATCAAAACATTGTTTGCAGTTGCTTTGTATACTCTTTTCTGACCACATCCAGAGAGGCTGGGGTTTTTTTTTCTTGTCATACAGATACAGCAGATGAAAACTGGACTAGTTTAGTGGACTAGAATAATGTGTATGGATGACAATGTAAATTTTTCCACCTCCTTTTTTTAAGGCCACACAATCATAATCAAAAACATGTTACCAAATACATCCTCATTTATAATAATCCAAGCATATTTCAGAAGCATAGGAAATCTTTGGTAGACACTGAGCTATCGAGTGCCATACAGTTGTAGTAAAATCTTACAGGAAATATGTCAGAGAAAGTTAAATTGGATTATTTGGTGATGTGGGTTAAATTTCCCCCTGTGGAAGTGTTACTGCTGCTGTCCCAGAAAACCACAAGGAGCTAGGCAGTCATTTAGTGGGTGTTTTAACCCTGAGAAATGGGTTGCAGGAAAGATCTTGGCACTCTAAGTTCAGCTGGTACAGTGATAATAATGATCTGGAAATTGTTGCTATGTCTGTCTGAATTGTTAAAGCCCAAAGAGGGAAGCTAAAAAAATAAATCTGTCCCATGGCAACTCCTGACTCAGAGGCACTAGTTGGGGGAGAACAGGAAAAGCCGAGTCACAGAGTCAAATAACAAAACACTTGTGGAGGCTGGAGCTATTAAGGCAGTTTCTACTGAATGTTGCCAATGCCAACAGTCAGTTTCCTCGTGGCCACAGCACATTATCGTGGGGTACTTTCTTTCATCTGAACTTTTAAAAATAAATAAATACCATTTGTTTATGCACACTCAGTGGAAACCGGGGCATTTGGTAATAGTGCATGCCACATTCTAGAGCAGTAGATATGCTCTGTCTGCCTTGTTTTTGTTGGTACAAAATTTGTTGATTTGTAGTTTGGGGGAAAAAAATAATTGTACCTTTGGTTTGTAAAATGTTCATGAAATGCTTACCAGGTGACTCCTGGCTGCCATCACAGGGGACCAGGATGGACCATGGACAGCGAAGCATGCTTTCCATTCCTGCTTCCCTTTTCCATCAGCTGGTAGGGGGTAGATATTTTCAGCCACACGCGGCTGTCAGCTGAAAGGATTATGAGATTCAAACTAGTTTTCCACCCCTGCCAAGTCCAAATGGGTCCTTTGCTGTAATGCTGATATTGTTCATTGTCTACAGAGACACAAACGTGGCAATGCTCGGCCATGCCCCAGGGTTTGATCCCAAGTTGTCTTTGGTTGTGGCTTCAGTGCAGATGTTTTGGTGTGACTTCTGCCTCCTCTCTAGCTGGCTTTCCCTGCCCCATCTTTGTGATACCAGGAAGATTTGTGCAAAAATAGAGACTGTTTAAAAAGGTCTGTCTGAAATCTAAAATTTTTAGCCAAGCTAGTTTTCTGACTGCCACCAGAAGACAAAATCCTTATTATTCCTGAAGTCTGAGAGTTTCTTTTCAGTCAGTTCAGCAAGTTCTCTCAACTTGCATCTAGATCTGACACATGGGAAGCACTGGAAACACTTAGCTGAGAATAGTAGGGGGAAGAGTGCCAAGAGTAAAGTCTTAAATTGTCTTAAGCCCATCATAAAATCACACTTTCAGTTAACTAAAGTACATTGTGTGTGGTATGGACCTCATTGTTGGACTGAATTTGTTAGCTACTCAAGTGTGCAGTGTTTCTTGGGGTTTTTTTGAAAGCAGTGTTCTTTCTGCCCCATTATAAAAAACACATTTTTGACAATCTCAGCTTTTCACAGGAGTGGAATTTTAAGAAAACACAATGCCTATAATCAGAGGACTTTGGAATTTATGGTGTTGGATGCAGTTTTTTACAGCTTTTTATTTACTAGTTGTTGCTGATGGGAATTTTATTATGTAGTAATTTATTTACATAGTAATTTAATTACACACACAACTTGTAATTGAATTACACATTGCAGCTCTCTACAGAATCTGGTATTTATACCAAATACCAGTGTCTGGGTTCTTGCCAAGAACTATGATCCTTATCTGTGGTTGAGAAGAGTATTGAAGACTTCAGGGCTCTCCAGAGGATAAGTAGATGATAAGGCTGTTGGGTTTTTAAATTGAAATTCTGATTATTTCTAACAATATAACATAATGTTCAAGCAGCACATTTTGAGGGAGAACACCAGGCAGCCAAAATAAAAAGCTTACGGAGAAGCCTAGAGCATTGGCAGAAAAATCATTATCTTACAGGGTGTTTGTAAGGAATTGCCAAGCAGTTTGCTTGCTTGTAACCATGGTGTGAAAGCACCCACTGTAGGTTCCTAAGTTTGTTTGCATGAGGATCTCATGCACTTTCTTCTCAGAGCTGGGAGTCCTTTTTTACATTGTGTGCTTAATATACAATGAGCATAGCCTCTGCTTTGACATGCCTCCAGGCTCCATAAAGCCTGGGTGGAATACACACACCAGCAAAAAGTGTCAGGGACACGGGATTACACATCTAGAAACACAATATGGCATTCTCATCCTTTCTTTTTAGCCTGTTTCTGAAGGGAAACATAATGTGAACTGGTGCCATCTTTCTTAACAGAGACACTAACTTCCCACAGGTTTCATTGGAACTGAATGGAATACACTGGGACAAGAGGGAGAAAAAGTAGTAATAGGAGTTCAAGTTTCCCCTTTTCCTAACCTGCAGCTGGACGGTCAGCCCACAGGAAACACACACATCCTTCTATACCAAGCATGAGCTGTTCCTTACCTGCCAGCTAGTGAGGGGATAGCTGAGAAATCTGCAGCACTGTGAATGATGAGGGAAATGGGGGCTGAGAAAATATCTGTGACCTAAGGAGTGACTCTGACTCTTTGCCTTGGCATGGACAGTCAGAGCCTTACTAAAGGAGTCAAAGAAGTTTTGGAGGATGTCATGGAAGACGTGACAATCATGTAGCTCAAGAGCTTTTCTTCCATAACATTTAACCACAAAACCACTTGTCATTTGTGGATGAGGTGTATGGCAAGATAATGTGATAGAATAAGATAAGGCACCAAAGATGGAAGTGTGTACAGTGGAGAGCGATGGGCCTTATCTGAGGCTTGACTCTGCTTCTCACCTTGGGCTACAAAAGGAGCCTAGGACAGCCACCCATGTGCTGGAGGGACATCCATCATGTCCATAACCTTCCATGGGAGGACTCTGTGCCACAAAAGTTGTGATTCCCGTGAAGGAGATGAGGGTCATATGGCTTTGAAGAGGGCTTAGATGGCACCAGAGGCCATCTGACTGCAAATGGAAGAGGGAGTGCCAGGTATTGTTGCATTATCAGCTTAAGACATGTAGCTATGCAAGTAAGGTGAAGGGTGCTAGATGGGCCCTTTCAGCAGCAGCTTAAATTGATCATGAAAATTTACCCCTAGGCAGGTCAGGAGAAGATATCTGGTGAGGGAGGGATGAAAATTCACTGGAGCTGGAGCACAGTGGGTAGTTTTAGAAGACATTTTACCATCTAACAGCAAAGGTACCACTTGTTTAGATCTGCCATTGCCTTTGCTTGGTCATGCAGGGCCTCTGTGGGCATTAAGTGTTGGCTGTTGGCAAGATTCATTCTCTCAGGACTGGCTGCAGTGCTGTATTCTAAGGGTAATAATGACTCCTTGTAAGGCTGTTCATATTAATGTACCAGAGAAGACTTTTTATCTTCATCAGAGAAATAATGAGCCTAATTTTGAGCTTTTTTTTTTACTCAGGGTTTTTTTGTAATTGTTTTTCAGCTACTGGAGGAGCAGATTGACCATTTTGCTGTGCTTGTCTATGTGCTGGTCTTCTGTGCATTGTCTGTGCTCTCTTAGCATGGATGGAGGAGTAGAACATTCATTGTAGAACATCCAACTGCAGTTCCTCAGGAAAATGATGCTCTGAGGGGAGTGTGAAAGAGGTTCTCCTCTTGGCACAGTGCTGGGCAGAATATCCCCCTTCTTCTTGCTTCTGAACATCCTTCCTGGGTCTGAGGTGGTATGCAAAGCAGGGCATGCTGAGAACACATCATCCAGCAGCCCTGCATTTGTCAGATGCTATTAAACAGCAGGGAAAGGGAATGGAGGAGCTGGTGAATCTGTCACATCCTGCTTGTTCTAAAGATTATTGATGGTGCATAATTCATCAAAGCATGACTGACCTAGGGGTGGGTTCTGCTGCCAGACGTGTCCTGTTACTGCTTCTGTTGCAGCTGCCCGTAAAGCAGTGCTCCTTGTTTGTGAAAGCAGCCTCTGACTTTGTGCCTGCCCATGAGCCTTTCAATTAGTACACCTAAAAGGATCACTCTTGCCTTGGACTCAAAATGTGAAGGTCCTGTTCACTGAGAAATGCTACAGTTTTGACATTTCCTTGTGTTTTGCAATGTGATTGAAGTAGGGAGGTACTGATACTTTCTGTGCAACAGCAATCCTGGAAAATTTTAATTGGAAATATTATAGTGCCTTTTTATTCTGACATTATTTATACAGTATTTGGGATTATTTTACATTCCCACAGTTGAAATATTTTGATTGATTAACAGTGAAAAAATATGCTGTTTTGTAATGTTTGGTTTTGAATTATTTCATTACTTCCTAATAGCAGTAATTTCTTGATAATGAAGTACTGCTTGATGGGAGTTGCAGTTCAGAAGCTTGGCAAATTCACTCTGAACCGCTCCTGTTGCCTGATTTACATCTCTGGTACTGCATCATGCAGTTTGGTCAAATGGAATTTGAAGTCTTACTGCCTGATGTAGCAATAGAGGAATCTGGTCTGTATGGCATAAGACAGGTTGAGGTGTTGATTCTCATGAAGCAGTGTGCTGCAGAGGAAAAAATGGAAGTTTGCGTTTTAGTGTTCTGATTCTCAATGCAGTATTGCTGGTCAGGAAAAAAAAAAAGAAAAAAGAAAAAAAAAAATTTTTCAAGTATTTTTAGGTTGGATATTTCCTCTGTGTTTCCTGGATAGAAGATTGAAAATATACGTGGCTAGAAAATTGAAATTATCTGCCACAGTTTGGAAATGCTCTTTCACATGCACAAGCTAGGACCAGGAGCCAGTCTGCCTAAAATCTCACTTCATTGTAAATTCAATCCTATCTATGAAACTTACCAGCTTTCCTTGGCCCTGTAGGTAACTCTTCATTAAATAATTCCTGGTAAGTCTGAGAGGTTTTTAGGTTCACCCTTTGTTTCACCAGGACAGGGTGAACAAATTTCAGGGAGCCAGGTATTATATCCTTCCTAATGTCTGCTATGGGATGAGTTTAGTCCAGTGGAGAAGCCTGGAAAATCAGATCTCATCAAGACTGATGGAGGTGGTGACTTCTCCTGAAATAAAACAGTAGTTGGAACACTGCCATGAGAAGGAATGGGGCTTTGTTCAGGGCACCTCCAGAGAGAAAGCAACCTGGGTATGTCACAGTGTAAAAGAGGGACCAGACTGCCAGGTCATGCCCAGAGTTTTGCTTGAGCAAGGTGTGCAAGAGACATAGGGCCAAAAAGGAAATGAAAAAGGGAGACTTCTCTAACCTAGGATTATGTAGGTGGTGTGGAAGAAAAGGGACATTTTGCCCATGGTGTGGGTTAATGTTCAATGCATACATACTGTAGGGAGAAGGAGATTAGATCCAGTTCTCCATATCTGCAGATGAGTCTGGCTGCTTCCCAGCTGCTGGGGTTGCTCTCCTGACCTTACACCCACTTGTGCCTGCCTTGGGTCAGGAACCCTGCCTTCCCAGCCAGCAAGTGATACCTGAGTCCTTATGGCACCTCTCAAGGGTGGTGGCTGCTCCTCCAGCCACTGAACCCGTCGTTTCCCACTTCACCCATGGGTATTTGTGTCACTACGTCATAGAATCATAGTTATTGAAGTTGGAAAAGACCTCTGAGATCATCGAGTCCAGCCATTAACCCAGCACTGTCAAATCCACCTGTCCTGTTTGTCCCCAAGCCTGGGCACCTTCAGTTTCAGAGAAGTCACCAAAAGGAGGTAGTTGGCACAGGCAGACTTGACAGGACCCACTGCTTTCTTTCAGATTGTCTTACTGATGAAAATGTCCTGGTTTCTGGGCAGGAAGAGCCACAGGGCTGGACAAGCATTCTGCTTTGCAGGACTTTCTTTTATCTCAGCTCAGCAATACCACATCAGCAACAAAATAAAAATAACATGTACAGAAGGACACGTACCATTATAAAATATCAGGGCCACCTTCCACTCCCAGCCTTAAGAGGTCAAGTGTAACAGCTCCACAGCATTTGGACTGACTGGCTGCTTTAGCCTCTCATGGGTGGTGAACAGTACCTAGCAGAGGAGTAGAAAGTTTAGAATTGTAAAATACTCTTTCAATCCTAGTAGTAATTATCTCTTAGCAAAGTTAGTGCTTTGCCAACTCAAAGAGACCTAATCCTTCTGTCATAGGAAGAGAAAAAATGTAATAGCTGTGAGAACTGTGAAGCTTATTTTCAAATAGATGCCTCAGCATTTTGATATTTTCTGTGCGATTAGCTGGTAACACAGGAAGGCTAATACATATGCAGAGCTTTCATTAGCTTCTGTAACAATTTGCCCTGGGGCAAATTGAACTGTGTCATGAGAAATGGTGTTGTTTCCCCTCCTTCTTTGTCAGATGAAGGAAAAAGACTTGTTAGCAACATAGAAACAATTTGCAACTTGTTGTCATTTCAGGGAAGGTTTGTCCTTGCCTCATATTTCTGCTTAAGTTTCTCTTTTACTTACCCAAAGAGAAAGGGCTGCCATTTTAGAGGCACAGAAGCCACATAATGAAACATGTTAAAGCATCTGTGCTAACATAAAATAGGACTAAAGCTCCTTCTGTACTGATCTGTTGCACTCACATAGTTGCTGCTAGCTCAAAAAGAAGAGATGATTTGCTCTGCTCTGTGTAACTCTGGCTCCTAAGGATGGCTTTGTGCTGTGCCTCTGAGGCTGCTTCTGCGAGCATCTGGTGCTGATGGGCACAGGCAGTGATGGCTGCAGAATACTAATGCTGCCACTGGCTCCCACAAGGCTCCACTTCTGAAAAATGCTTCAGCCATTCAGTGTCCATGCACCATGCTGAGCAACAGGAGGCTAGAAAAGCTGTGCTCAGGGATTTTTTTTTTTTTTTTAATGCAGAGCAAGAAGCTGACAGAAATGATGGCTCTGTGCTTCACATTGTTGTGCCCAGGCTTCTTTCAGAGCTGCAGTCATTTATATGCATAAATATCAAGCCTGTCACTTGTTGCAGGCTTTGATAGCATTTGTGTAACAAAGGAATCAGAGAGAGAAAAAAGCTGAACATCTTCTATTCCAGCCTTAGAAAATGAATGGCTGTGTCTTTATCAGGTTGCAGGTTTTATTAGATCGCTGTCCTCTGCAATTTGTTTTCCTTCCTGTTCTGCTGTCCAATGTAGAGGATCACGAGAGGACTTCCCCCCAATGCCCTTTTGTCTTTCTCCCACGCTGTGACTCCCCACAGGGGGTATCTCTAAGAATTACCTACCAGTAATGATTGCCACAGCAAAGCCTCTTGCCACATACTGACCCCGTTTTTCTTTTTGCTTCCATTTTTTTTTCTTCCATTAGCTGTCTGACAAAGTCACTCCACATCACCCATTTCATGCAGGGATACGAGATCTCTGCTGTAATTGTATTTTTGATTACTTACTTGGTTTTTCTTTATCTCCCCTAGGCAAGATGTATGCTTTCTATTTGCTCTGCATGCCATATCTTTCTGCAGTTCTAAATTGAGGTCGACATTGTATTTACCAGTCATCCCTCTCTGCAAAGCTGTGCAGTTGCATCTAAATTTTCTCTGGGTCTTGCAGCTATTCTATATTGAAAGACAACTAAAATACACTGCTCGCACAAAGCTGCTTTTCCATTAAAGCAATTGGTGAAGTATCACAAGAATGTTGTTCTAATGCCAGGAGGGAGGAGGGAGAGGTTTGTACTGATTGCTAATAGGAGGGGGAATAGCCTTTGAGACAATCCCCTTATTAAATGTGGTCTGCACAATGAAAAGCTTGGGAAGCCTTTCCAAGGCTCCTCACACTTAGGCTTTGTGCCCAAGCTCAGGGTCTCAGACATGGAGGTGGTTTCAGAATACCACACAAGGGGAACCGTTTCAGCAAAAATATCAGGGTTACTTGATTAATTTATTAAAGTGCCTCGGATCACCATGCCTCTTTATTGGCATGTAACTCCAGCAGAAAAAGTAACAATTTCTCCCTAGCCCTTGAACCAGCCATTGCTCTGCTGGGCTCTCAAAGTTCCAGGCACAAACAAGAGATAGAGCCCCTCTGAACATTGCCAAGGTTAATTAGAGGTTTCTTTTTTCCCCTGAGTAAGTGTAACTTTTTTGTTCCTCCTCCCTTTACAAGTCTTCCCTAATCTTAAGAAAACCTTGAAGCAGTAGTATTACAGTCTGAAGATATAAACAGTGCAGGATTTGTAGGGACAAGTACTATATTATCCTAAAGAAGGACCTATATGCCTGAAGGCTTGTCTGCCTTTTTTTTTTTCACCAGCTGTATCAGTTGGTCTAATAAAAGATATTACCTTTCCCTACAGTCGTTGCCTTACTTACTAGAATAGTTGCCTCCAGGACATGAAACATTTAACTGTGTGTAAAACTCCAGTGTCAGGGTGATAGAGCTCAATGGTGTGATTTTCATGTCCTGAGCCAGCTGGCAAAACTGACAGTAAGGTGGGATGAACACTTTCCACCCTTATCATTCTGCACATCATTAATGTCCCTTACACCCCCACTCTACACCAGTGTTTTTGTCTTTCCTACCTCTCAACTGTATGGAACAGGTCTTTTCCAACAAATAAATGCACGTTGACTAGCATCTTTTGGATACTGTCTCGGAGAAACAGCAGCTCTTATGGTATGCTTGATGAAACTTTTCTATGCCTCCTGATTATTTTCCTGGTTGCTATATCACTGTACTTTTGTTGTTGTTGTTTGCTACAAGTGAGATTCAGAGAGCTGGAGAAAAAGAAAAGCCTACTCTGGCTGAGTAGACTGTTTCTCCTTTAAGGGTCACCTAAGTGTTGTAACTTGGTTGCAAATATTAAAGGACTTCTTTTTCTTTTAACATTTCAGGTGAACTTTCTGTGGAAGGCATACAAGACCCATTCCTTGTTAGTGTCCATATTATCACAGACCCAGGTGAATCCAGGACTCTTCAGCAGGCCATTGATAAGCTTCTAGCCTGGATCCACCCAGACCTGCAGCTGTTTCGGGTCTCAGAAAGGCGAGTGCCCAGGAAGCGCAGGAAGCCACTCAAGGCCGGCGTTGCTCAGCCAGCCCTCGCTGTCATCCTGTTCCTGCAGGAGGAGTATGGGGAAGAGCCCATCTTGCAGCTCCATGAGACTTTTCAGCGGCCACCTTGGCATTACCACCACACAGAGCTAATGCATGGGAAGTTCCTCCCTTACATGCCTTGCAGCCAAGACTTTTACACTCTGGCTCCAGAGACTCCTCTGTGGGCTATCCGCCCAGTGCACTACGGGAAGGAAATGATCCGCTTCACCATATACTGCAGGAATGAGAACTTTGTGGATATTTTGAAATTGTATGAGTTAATACTGAAAAGACCAATGTGTCAGAAAAAAGCAGACTTCTGTGTTTTTCCTGTCTATTCTAACTTGGAAATAGACATTCAGTTTTCTTTAAAAAAACTCCCAAAGGGACAAGTTCCAGTGAGGACAGAGTCAGCCGTGCTGGAGTTCAGAGTGAGAGATGTGGGGCAGCTTGTGCCTCTCTTGCCCAACCCTTGCAGCCCCATCAGCGAAGGCAGGTGGCAGACAGAAGACCACGATGGAAATAGGATCCTTTTGCAGGTAAACTCGGTATACGGGGAAATGGAAGCATATTTCTTGGTTTTGTGCAGGAAAGCTTATCCTGCACTGACAGTTGTCCTTTTGTTGGTTGGCTGGTTGGTTTTTTCGCTTTATCCTTGGAGCAAGAGCCAGGACAGTACTGCTGAAAAAAGAATTTGAAACCCCTTGCTGTGTTGTGTAATTGATCACAAAAGCAGTCAATGATGTTAGCCAGATATCAGTCAACCTCAGTTTATGCTAAGAGTGATGTGAGATGAGATAGCAGTTTTAAAAAATGAGAGAGAAGGAATTATGAGCCCAAGTGGAGAAATCATAGCTGGTGAGTGTAGTTTTATAAGAGGTATGGGCACAGAACTGACAGGGAGTTTTAAAATAGCCCTCAGTTATGAGATTTTTATGGGAGACAAGCAGAAGTCCTAATGGTACTCATTATTTTCTGGCATCACTGAGTGACAAACTGCATCTCTCTTTTGCACAGTGATTATCAGGATGAAGAGAGAGGTGATGAAGGAAAAGAAATGCATTCTGAAGAGCAGCCTAAGCGAGACATTTCCACTGACTCTCTTTTTGAACTAACCTCAAGTGCTCATAACCAAATCCTGGGAGTTTTTTTGTCAGGACATCTGTAGGCACCATATCTGGGCAATATATCAGCATGCTCTGCTTCACCCCACCACATCCAAGGGAGATAAAAGATAAGCAGCAAACTCTTAACAGCTGCCTGCCCTGCAGAGGGGTATCTGTGGCAATCCAGAGCCAGGTTAATGTGCATTCTTGCACTGCAGAGGGTTTTATTGCTGCTTACATTCAAATCAAGGAGCACAGTCCTTCACCTTTATAAGGCTGCTGTTCAGATTTCAAAGGGTATTCCTTTGGAGTGAATTCCATTCACGTGGCTTGTCCAGTTGCCTGACCTTGTTTCTGTGGAGGACACATTGTGGGTGCCATCCTTGCCCCATACAGACCTCTCGGCTTGCAGAGAGGTGTGTGCAACCCTCTGTAGCACAGTGCCTCTGGGTTTGTAGTTCCTGGGACTGAAATTCCAGGTACACAGGGCATCTCTGTTCTACTGAGTCACATCCAGGTGGTAGTGGAGCCTTTCAATGCTGCTTTGCAGGTGCCACCATCAGAAATCCCATGCCAGAGCTGAATAACACTAGTAAAGGGCTGAGGAGGCCAGCTTCCTTCCCCATCTGGCAAGCCAGTCACCAGTTTGTCAGGGTTACTGATTGCACTTCAGGCATATCTGTGTTAGCCTGAGATAAGCTGCAAACTGAATCTGACATGTCATCACCAAACTTATACACAGTAACCACACTCATCTATGTCCTCTTTTCCCTGCTCTTTCTCAGGAGGTTTCTGCTGCGTGATACAACTTTGGTTTGTGGGACCTTACACTGGTTTCAAGCAAATTGAAGGAAAGGGTAAAAACAAACAAAAAAAATAGGTCTTCTAAATAGGGCTTTTGGTTTAAAGCCAGCAAATTTTCAGAAGTAACAACTGTCAGGCAGTACAGAGGTAAAGTGAGACTTGCTGAGCAAAGAAAATGAGAATAAGATTTTAGCCATATGAACCAAAAGAGAGGAGTAGACACCTGCCTAAGTATGGCCTGCAAATACAATTGATTTTCATTTCTCTTTTTGGTGAGGATGATCACTCTGAACAGGAGGACAAAATGGCAAATGAGAATGAAGTTACATATATGGAATTTATCACTCTGGAAGTTTGGTGAAGCAAAAGAAGTTTAGTATATGCAAAGTGGAAGGAAAACAGAGACTTTGGATCTAATTTATACCATTTTAAAATCATGAAAACTAGGTCCTGGTGTATGGGTTTTAAGCAAGTCTATACAATAAGAACTGGAGCTCTAAGGCTAAGTCAAAGGGAAAATTTCCTGTTACTCAGATCCCTACAGCCATCAGTGCAACATGACCATGAAAAGAAAATTGCAGTCCCTGGTGTGTACCAGAATGACTGTGCCATAGGAACCACAGGAGGTTGCACAGGATCCCAAGAGCCACACCTGTCTTCAGCTCTGGACTCCGGAAAGGTGACCTCAGAAAGTGCAGGAACAGGGAAAGGCTCTCCCCACATGCAGAGGAATGGAGAAACTCTCCTGCAATGGGAAACTGGAAGAGTAGGGTCCCCTAAGCCAAATCAAAGTCTGGAGGGAGCTCTGGCTTGGAGACAGAGCACATGATAAACAGCAGGAGCAGGAAAAGGCTGGTTTACTCAATTATTGTTTTGATACAGGAACAAGAATCTACCAATAAATAGATTTTAGTACATATTCATAGTTAACTGCATAACAGCCAGCAGGTGCAAGCAGGTTAATACCTGAATTTAAGGCAGGATGGTCAGTTAGGGAGAGGAAATGATGGAGCATGGGTTATAGGAAACATTGGATTTGGTGATCCATTAACTCCTCATACTAATTTAATTCATTCTAATTTAAAGCAATTATAATATCTACCTTTGAAAGTAACAAGACTACATTTTGACTTCTCACAGAGAGTTGCTATTAGCAGTATTTTCCATGCCACAGCATTGATGATAACTTTGACTTCCTCCCAGTTATATAAACTTAAACAATGACCTCTCAGTACTTTTCAGTCTTCATATCAGTTGATAATTAGTAATCATCAGAATGGTTTTGTTTACTTTATACAGATACTGCACCTTTTTTAAATTATAATTGTACCAAAAATGATAGATTAACATCCCTGTTAAATTGCAGGCAGTGTTTAAAGTTTGAAGTTTGAGTATACCTCCATGTTTAAGCTAATGAAATGTGACCTCTTGCTTGTCCTGACAGGGACTTGGATACTTGCCAGCCAGATTGATCCATGTTCTTAATCCATTTTGCAAATGCAATTATCAGGGGGCTTAGGTAAAGTCAGTTCAAGAGACAACAAAGTTATTCATGGGTAAGA